GCAGATACTCTAGGACAGGGTAGTCACATCTGCTACGTACCCAAATCTTTAAAAATCTAGAAATCTAAAAATCTAGTAATCGCGAGTGCTAGGATAGACATAACTCGGAATCAATTATATACGAGCGAGGCCAGTTGACGAAGCATAGTTCTACTTCAATTACAACTAAGAGCTGAATCACGAATCGAGTAAAATTTTAACTGATATTGTTTTTCATTTTACTCAAAAGTACTCAAATTATATTTGCCGCGATTTTTTCAGTATTAAATTATATTATAGCTCATGGCAGCTGGAACAATTTCACAGTAACACGTTTCAACAAAATACACCGTTTATGTGTTTCTTCGGTTCGTAGAAAGGTGTTACTTTATGATGTCAACATTTAAAAGTTTAATACTTTCTGAAAAGGATCGGGCAAAACACTCGTAGTGTAAAGTAATGTACATAAACCGCGGCGCGCTGCTCAGTTCATGCATATCATCTGACAGAAATATTTGTATATTTCACGCCTAACCTCTCCCTAGGCTTTTAACCTATATTTCCTATCACTGAATATGTACAATAAATAATTACGAAAATAATTCGAAAGACGCCCGGAGATTACGCTATGACTAACTTACTGACTAGAACTAATTGACTAACTGATGTGAATTTTCGTCACTGAAAATTACGTTGACGTAAATTTGATTAAATTTAGGTTTCAGCGCTCCCTAAGGAATAACGCTGGCAAAAATTGGAAACATCCCTCTGCTGATTCATAGATGTCTCACCCCACTGTTCATAAAATTACAACTGTAAAAATCTCTCATCCTGATTAATTAGATATCCCATCCTGATAAACACCCCAACTGTCCCGCTACTGTGCATAGATATGGTCAAATCGGAAAAAAATATTGTGCTGATATAGGCATCCCATGCTATGCTATGCTATGCTATGTAATCATATTCAATTCTAATTAGAATTCGAATATTTTATTACATATATATATATATATATATTAATATATATATATATATATATATATATATTTATATATAGTGCATGTCAAATAGTATAATAGGCATATATATCAGACACATGACCACATATGTAGAATAATTCTTGAATTTTTGATTCATATTTGACTGTTTACCACAAGGAATGTACAAAATTATAATAAATCCTGTAGTCCTGGTTTATTTATCCCATATTTATATATTTGTTTAACTATTCTATATTAAATTGCCAAAGTCTATTGTACTAAAAAAAATTTTAATCTCCTATGTAAAATGACATATAAATTCATGAACACAATTTAGGTGGAGATGCCTTTTTCCATGCATACTATTAAACTATTAAATAAATATTGAGTAAGAAAGTACAGAAAACTTCAAGCAGACGTACCACATCATTGAGATTATTACAATATCAGATTGCATTCTTAGAAAAATATATTCCAAATAACACATATGCTTTTTTTTCTATCCGAATTGAATTCGAGGGCCGGTTAAATAAAATTCTTAATCATGCATCCTAAAGGGCATCGTTAACTTTCCAAATCATAGTTAAAAATGGAATCTTGAACTTTTGAGGAGTAAAAAAACATTAAAATTAACACTTACCAAGCTTTTCAACCGTTATCCACCAGAATTATTAAGTCCGCTCTTTATCATAATATTATCCAACTCCAATCTCCACTTTCATCTGCAACCTTTAGTTTTACTCAAGAGGGTCTTTTTTATTATAGAATATATATTTTAGAATCTTTTTGGTTGAATTATTTTTATGTTTTTGCATTATCTTTGCATTTTTTTATCCAAATACCAACAATTTTTGTAAATACGAATCCTCAGTCTGGTTCAAAATCTATAGCAACAGAATACCTTACAGAAGTGGAACTCCTGTACTTTTTTCGTAAGTGTGATTCGTCATGATTCGTCACTTAGCAAGTGCATTTTTTTGAGGTAGTCACCCCCCTGCCACTGTCTAAAATCAAGCCAATTTTTAGTATTGGCAGGGGGGTGACTACCTCAAAAAAATGCACTTGCTAAGTGACGAATCACACTTACGAAAAAATAGTATAGAGTTCCACTTCTGGTAGGTATTCTGTGCTATAGCGGTGGTTTATGATTTTTGAATACTTCATGTTATTGCTCTGTTTGATAACCACACCGCCAGTCCACGCAAGTCACTGGGGGAGGCATTTGCCCATCCAGTGCAGCTTAATGCCACCCTGACCCCCTCCACCAACCCCGAGTAGCCCATTTTCTCTATTTCATGAAAAGTCTTTCAAGTAAAGAAGGTTTGAAACAAATTCAGATGCATTCCAGTATTCAAACCGAACATAGAGTTTTATAGAATATAGAGTTACGTTTTAGCTGCCATCTTAAGTATAAAAGAATTCTTGGCACGATCAGTATGAAAGTGTGGTATGTTAAATTTACGTTCATTTCTAAGGTCATGATGCGGTTGATGTAACGGTGGAAGCAAATTATGAAGTTTATGCTCCGGATCTTTGACTATATTCTTGAACAAATTCTCGCATAAAAGGTTATGATATTCTTCCATTGGTCTTACATTCAAAGTTTCACAAGCTGAACCATAATCCACTCCTGGCTTTAAAATTGCTATCGCTCTTTTTTCCAAAAATACAAGGTCATTCATTAAATATCTCTGAAGAGCGCGATAGAAGACTGGTACAGCATAATATATGACTGACCAGGCCGCCCAGAGGAAGGCAAAAGGGGCAATTAGCCCCGTTCATGACTTCATGTGTCAAAAGTCCCAAACTAAATAAGAAGATTGTTATGACAAAACGAGACTATCGTCAATCAGAGCTGAATTTGGTAGATATTTAAGTTCTATAAAATGGCAATCAATTATTCCCAACCTCCAATCAGAACAACTGTGAAGAAATGTGGAATACATCAGTTTTACAACGTGGTTTTTACCGGCCTTGAATTTTCGATGCCAAGTAAAGAAATCAAACGGTGTCCGCCACAGATGCACCATGGATGAACAATAAATTGAAATCGCTCATTAAGAAAAGACAACAAGCCTTTGCTACTCATGGAATTAAATCGGCGATATTTAAAAGTACAGGGATTTAGTTAACAGCTAGGGAGCGAAAATAATGTAGAGCAAAATATTATCAACTAAATATGCATAAGTTGAAAGGAAAAAACCCCGAAGAAATGGTGGTCTGAAATTAAACGTATCTCAAACCTTGTAACCAAACGGAAACTGATAAGTTTAGCCAATGTTGAAACGTTTTCCAACCTTACACCAAGAGATCAAACAAATGAAATGAATAAAACATTTTTAGACTAGAATGTCCGTTACCAAAATTTCCGTTGGAGGAAATGGCAACTTTTCTAAACATATCAAAGCCTATTAAAGACTATTCACATATCCCAGCCCTTGCAATCTCAATTATCCTCAACAACTCATACGGAGAGCAACGTGTTCCTACCACTTGGAAAATGGCCAATAATACACCCTTGCCAAACACAAAAATTGTAAAAGATCCAAAGAAAGATTTAAGATCTATTTCACTTACCGCTGCATGGTATCTCTAAAGTCGCTGAGGAATTTATTGTCGTTGATTATGTGAAACCAGCAATCTTCAAAGTCATCGACCCAAATCAGTATGGTGCAGTTCCTATATAGAAGTTCCACTACTATTGTATTAATCAGCATGATCCATCGCTGGTCCACCACCACTGACGGTAATGGTGCCGTTGTAAGAAAAATCCTCTTCGATTACCGAAAAGCATTTGATGTTGTCAATCATTCAATTTTGATCCAAAAACTATCAGAGTTGAAATTACCACACTGTTAATTTTAGAGTGTTGCAATAGCACCTTCATAGGTGTTAGTTTGACTCGTTGCTGAGGTGTTAAATAAGAAGTGCTAATCTAACACCGATTTAGGTGTTAATTTAGCACCATAAATTGGGGAGTTTATTTAGAAGAGCTACTTTAACACCCTTGACATTTAACACCTTTTAAAAGTGTTGAAATAACACTGCTACATCGCTGGATAGAGTGTCAAAAAAGCACTACTTTCTGTGGGTGTTATATTGGCACGACATGCACTTTTTCGCATTCAAAATGGCGGATAACGAAGGAGTGATATAGGTTGATACAGAGGAAAATGTAGACGAAATATCACAATTTCTAAGTATCTCATCACTATTTATGTTATCGCTGAGCAGATTCGGCCGAATATAAAATGATGAGTAGCAATTGTAAGAAGCAAAGTCTAAGATGCCTTTATATAACTATGCAAAAGAAAGGGTGCAATTTAGTCTTACATTTTTTTATTCTCGCCTTTTACAAAGCTTTTAATCCCAAACATAGAGATTCGATACTTCGCCTCAAATTTTTAAGGAATAAAATGTAGACTTTTGGGTAAATGAGGTTATACAAAAAATTAGAATATGATAGAACGCAGATTTATTAATACTCAGTCTAATCTCAAGGCTTTGAATTTATATTACCGGTATTTACAAAATTCAAATACATTATTCATCATCAATTTCAAATCTTAAACAAACAAAATTTGCCTCAGATCTAAATGGCTTGATTCTATTTAAGGGTAAATAACATGTGAAGTCACTAATGTAAAAAATTCTGGTGGTTTTCTCCCTGGCAGTAGCAATTTCATATGCTTGGTAATGTTCAGAAAATTGCGATGTATCTATTCTTGTAGTAATGAACATTGCCTTGGCAACATTGTTGTCAACAATGCAAATCATTTTCACTTCCCAGAACTGTGGGAACTCATCTTCGTCAAATCCAATGTGAACAATGGCTCCAGGTTTATATTTTGTCCCATTAACTGATAACCACTTGGCACTACAAAACAAAATCAGTTATTAAATAAGAGACCCCTTCAAGCAAAAATTTGTTGAAAACTAAATAAATTGCTAAATACAGTGAATCAAAAAAGTATTCAACCCACGTTCTCAAAATAAACAATATAAGCTTGATATCTTGTACACCAAGCAACTAGCAACTTACTTATACAATGAAGTTTGTCTGCCAACACCCAGGATTTCATTTTCTATAAGTTTGTGGTATTCCAAATCACCAACATAGGATGTCTTACCTATGCAATAAGTACAGTGTGTTAGTGGGGTGATAAAATGATTAAAAATAACTAGCAACAAAGTTACTAAATTTATGCACATCATACCTGGTCCAACCTCAATTCCTTTGTCAATAAAGGAACTGCATCCTCCTTCACCAGATTGCAGCCGATAAGAAACACCTTCTTGGTGCCGTTTTGACAAAGAATATGGCAAGTTGATGAAGTTACCCAATGCAACAGCCAGCTTCTTAAAATAGCGATGTTTGGCTTCATATCGCATACACCAGCTTCGCACAAGTGGGCCTAGTCTGATAAAACAAGATAATAAATGTAAGGAAGATTTAATTAACCTGGGTTTTTATAACAAGCCATAATTAAGCAAGTAAGCAAGTGCGTGGAACATAGTGCATGCAATTAAGCATTATATACATAGATTCCAGAGCCAGTAGCAGATTATTTTTTTCTAACTCACTGAAGCATTGTTGTTGGCATATGAACCATGTAATGCATCTTGGGGATGATACTGCAGTCTGGAAACAGCTCTTTGAAGTTTTCTAATAGCTTCTGTGTTAGCACTTTTAGATATGCCACTTGATTTTTGCTAACAACTGGAGAAAAGATTATACGCACAATTTGAAGTAGGGTACACAACAATTCCCAGTGTTCGAACCAAGCAAAGAGGGTTGAAGAAATTCTGGACGAATACCCTGCTCTTCAGTTAATTTCTGAGGTAATATTGTTAACTTAGCAAATCGTTTTCTTTTTAGTTAGCTGGCTATACTATTTTGTGCTCACAATGCTAAACTTGGCAGTAATTTCATGTTGACAAGTTGGAATGAAAGATTGAAGTTAACTTTCATTCTTCTGTGTGAAGATACTTGGTCTTTAAACATTATCATGTTTATTAATTATTGATCACTCTTTTATAGGTAAAGGCAGAGTTTGGAAGGGTTTTGTCTGACCAAAAATTAGTGCGGGAAATGGCAAGCCACTTAAAGTTGTTGGAAGGAAAGGTAATCGAGTATGCTTCAAAGTGTTACAGCAAGAGAAGCATAAAAACCCTTAAGGAGAGAGTGGAGAGGGCACTGGTGGATGACCCAGATAAAGAATCGGGTATGTATGTTGGTCAATTAACCCTAAGTTTCTGGTTTACATGTAGTTGGCAATTTCCATTTTCTCAAATTTTCCTCCAGCTTATTCTCAACTTGCACTGAAACACTTTCTTTAGTAGTCTTGACTTGTATGGTTTACAAGTGATTATTCACTGTATTAGTGTTTTTAAAGGGCAGAGAGTTTATCAGTATTTTAATTTCATCTGGCAGAAATAAAGAGCACTGTGGCAGCTTTGATGTTGCAAGATATGTTGAAAGAGAAGGCAGCAGACATGTTATTTTTCAAAGTTTGTACTGTAAGTATTTTCTAAAATATATATGTATTTTTAATATGTTACAGCATACTGGCTATAAGCTATGTTTTAATGCTTCAAAAAGTCATGTTCAGTTGTCATTTCCAGACAGAATGTTGGTTATTACTTTGAAGTATGGGCAAAAATTGACAGTCTTAATCACTTGTCTTGTTTTCAATTATATACCTTGAAATACAAGATGATTGCATTCTTCATTTCGGTGTTTTAAACAAGACATTTTTCCTACTGTGAAATGAACTTGTAGTATCAACAAGGCTAGAAAAACACGGTACTATAGCTGGGGTGTCTTATATTTGCAGGACGATGACATGATTGACGCAGAGATAAAGAAGACAACATTCCCAAGGCTGATTGGTTCCGGGGATCTTGCGCAATTGGATCCGCTATTTATTGCAGTTGAAGGGCAAATATGGCTGCAATTATCAGTTGGAAACCGCGACCGGATAACCATGGCATTGGTGCTCCTGCTCGGTAGTTTTTACGTCTTTAACATGGAGTATCCAGCTGGCGTCTCGAATGTGTACGCTCTGTTTGAGGTCATCTTATTGAGGAAAACGCAGGAGGCGAAGAAGCGTATTTCAGTACAGAGGATTATGAAAGATATGAACATTTGTATATTTAAACGAAAGAAATAGATGTAAATAAGCGAAAACGAAATAAATATTTATGATGTGATACTGATTTGTGTGCCTTTTGTGATGCAGAATTTAGAAGAATACCTGTACAATTTTAGAATAGGGGTGCTTTATAAGCAAAACTAGTACCCAAAGAGCTTTTTAGCACAAAATGAAAGTGTTAAAACAACTCCAAAATTCACCCAATTTGACCCCAAATGTAGTGCTATTTTAGCACTTATTTCTTTGTATTCGTGTTATTATGACGCCAAAAAGTGGTGCTATTTTAGCACCTACCGAAGTGCTGAATTGACACCTCAAAGGGCGGTGTTAAAATGACACTCGAAACCGTGTCATTTTGTACCTTTTTGTTTAGCACCATTTTTGGTGCTAAATCAACACCATAAAATTAACAGTGCATATAGCGTCATCAATTGGATATCAGAGACCTTTCGATCCAATTGTATTCAATGGAAAAGAGTTAGAAGTTGTTAATAAAATCAAACTCTTGGGTCTCACCATTAATAATACTTTAACATGGAAACCTCACATAGACGAAGTCGTCAAAAAGGTTAATAAAAGACCCTATTTACTTGTGATTTACTTGAGCAACTTAAAGGCGCAAGTGTTCCGTGTAAAGCTCTGGCTTCCTTCTACATATCATGCATTAGATCAGTCATTGACTATGTCCCGGTTTTTTACAATGCGCTACCTCAATACTTGAAAAACAATTTGGAACGGCTGGAGAAGAGCTATATAGTTATTATTATACCTGAAGAAATTAAACTCAATAGTTATAGCCTCTCTGTTCGATTTTATTTTATAAATGAAATTATTTCATTAACTTATATCAATAATCTTAATGTTTCTCAGCAATAGTTATATAGCTATAATTTTAATGATTGATTAACTGTAAAAATTACGTAATTCAGCCTTTAATTTAGCCTTAAAGTAATTTTATTACTCCGGCGTCATTGACGGAGTTGAAAATTCGCCTCGGTTTTTGTTTTGTTTTTGTTTTTTTTATTATTTTTCGTCGTCGCAATGTGTAATGGTGCAAAATATACAAGTATTTGAAATGTGTATGTGATCGGATTTATCTACGTCCCAGTTGTAGTTCAAGCTTTGGCAGACTTTTTACTCAACTTCTTCGTTTCATTTTTTTTCTTATGTCTTTTTTTCTTATTTGTTGTTCCTGGAGTTTTAAAATGAAACATTAATTATTTTTGCTCATGGTTATTAATTGTTTTCTTCGAATTTGAAAACTTAACGTTTACCTATTCACTGGATGAAAATTATAGTCTGTATTTGCCCCTCTTAGCTTTAACTGTACCAACAAATAAGTAATGAGGTCGCGACTGAGTAAAGACATTTAAGTCATAAACATGAGTTATCCAGTGATTTTCAGATCAGTGGACCTTTGTCTTAACTGAGAGTTCTGTTGCCAAGCCTGTGCTGTTTTAAAGATTTCTGCGGAAGGCAAAATGTTTCACTGTTGAGTCTGTAAGAATCTCAAAGCTTCGCAAGGTTTATTTAAAGAAAATTCAAAAAAAGCGTGACGCAAAAAAGCACTAGACGTCGATTTTGCGAAAGGTATAGTTTTCATATGCATAAAGGTTTTTAATTTACATATGAGAATAATGAGATTAAATAAGTTTAATAAAAATATGACATTTTCCAATATTTATAAAGGAGTGGAGTGTAATTCTTCTGCAAATCATAAAGCTACAGTACTTGGCCTTTGACTCTCAGGTTTACTACATTTCTCAATTATTCTACTTTAAATAGCACATGATGTGATTGAGCCTAATAAGCCAAAAAAGTGTTTTGTCATATTTTGCTTTGAAAACAGTAATTGCTACAACCTGCAAACAACATGCAAGTAAATGTGGGTATCATTATTCCAATTTTTTTGGGAATTATGTATATTATATGAAAACCAGTACCAGTAGCTAATCAAAATAAGTGTTTTAGTGCATTGCTGGGAAGTTTAGAAACATTTCTGCTCAGGCTCTGCATGAGTCGGCATGACTATTTACTTCAGAGCAGATCATCATTTCATTTTTATAATTTTTCAAACAAATACCTAACAAGACGCCTGTTCTGGCGTTAACTCCGGCGTCCTTTGCACGTGCCAGTTTTCAATATAAAGCTTGAAGCTTCTGAAGATAAACAATGTTCATATTCATTTAGATGCATTGCGAACCTAAAATCTAAATGTTGTTCGAAAAATGGTTCAAAAAACCATCCAACTAGGCTCTTTAAAGACTGAAATCGTAAAGAAATAAAATCTTACCAATCATAGGAATACTCCATGTCAAAGAAGAGTAAAAACTGAAATGGTAAATTTCAAATAAACACTGCATCATTGGCGTCATATTCAGCTGAACGAGCAATGTTAAGATTGTAATAGGAGATACGAGAGAAGCGACTTTATCAGTTTCAAAGTCTCAACGTGTCTTGAGGTAATTTAAAACAATTCTGATGTCCGAATTAAGTGGAGAGCTGAAACTGACTTCTCAAACTCAAACAGCAAAGACGCGCCTTCGAAATAATAACTTGTGTCATTTCAATATCTCATAACCATAGCCTACTACCTGCTAGAATTCATGGATTTTACAACATCGATTGGGGTAATTTCCTTTGTTTGGAGTCACGAATTATATTAATGCGTTAATTTAGAATACAACCTAAAATTGCCTAACTGTTTAAGAAATCAAAACGTAATAGAACTAATAAAAAGCAAACTTATTTTTCAATTGATAATGAAAAATTTTTTACCTCAGAATACTTCGATACTTGAGACGCGTTTGCGTAGTCAAATGAACACCGGACACTACCAGCACTAAAAAAGGTTTTTTGTATTAATGTATGGGACTTGAAGTGGTAAAAGTCTGTAACCTCACCAAATAAAAGAACAGGTTGATTCAGAAGGTAAATCAATTACGTTTATATAAAGTTTTATAGTACGTATAATATATTAAGTTCTACTCATGCATCCCAAATTCAAGCCAGGAATAGTCGAGAAAAAAAGTTGTCGACGTAATGTAAAATTGGGTCCGTAACGTGGCAAAAACCGGCTTCATAACCTTAGTGAATATTCTAGGACTACTAGATAAACCCATAGGTAAACAAGTAAAACAATAAAGTGTTTCCTTCCAAATAAATTTCAGGTATTTTTGACATTCAGGTGCAATCGGAATAGAATAATAAGCATCCTTTAGATCAATGGAAGTCATGAAACAACCCAGTCTCATGAGCTTAATAGCAGTGTCCAAAGTATCCATCTTAAAATGATGATAGGACACATATTCATTTAAACCTTTAAGATTGAAGATGACTCTAGAAGATCCATCTTTCTTGGGGGTAATAAAGATAGGTGAAACAACTTGGTCAGGTTCTGAAAAGGACTGCTTAATTATCCCTTTCTGTAAGAACTTGGCAATCTCAGAATCAATTAGTTCTTGCTCCGTTAAATTAAAAGTAAAATAAGGTCTAGATTTACTAATGGCTGAGTCAGGTAAAGAATAAATTCAATGTGGCAATGTGTAACAGCATCCAAAACAAATGGATCTGAAGTAATTTCTGTCCATGCCTTGACACAATGCTTTAAACCCCAGCTGAAAAAGTGGGTTGATTGGTAATGATAGAAGAAATAGAACGTTGACCTACCTGTTTTGTCACTCCTACTGACTCTTGCTGGTCTTGGACATTGAGGATGGGGGACGGGTGAGCCCCCGGCCGCCGCCTAAAAAAGACCTCGCTCTTCCGCGTCCTGCAC